GATAGTTTGTTTTAAAATGAAGGAAAATCGATATTTTTGAATCTACGTTTAATGTCTATAAAGTCGATAAATGCATATATTTCTGTGAATACTGTATCCTGATTCAATAATCAATTCCATAACCTACTAAATAGGTCTAGGTGTATGTTTTCCTATTCTGGTTAAAAAACAAATTAAGTGAGAGGTAGTTGCTCAATGTCTAAGCGGGTAGTTGATTCAAAATTTTTTATTGATTAGCAAATGGAATGGTTATATGATATTCAAATAATCTTTGCTTCTGTGTTTTGACTGCATTCACGTCTAACCAATGAGTGGATAAGTCTCATGTTACATATTCATTATAATAAAGGCTTTTCGTATTTCTCAATGAATGAATGAAAAACAAAACGATATTGTTATTTTTACTGACGTTTCGCTATTTAATGCTGCCTCTAATAGCTTTATGAAAGCAGTACTTCTAAAACAGAGTTTACGAAATCCACTCAGCTTATATATAACAACTTAATCATCGTTCCTCAGCATAGGGTCTTTTTTCCGTTGTCAAATTCGCCAATTAGTAAAGATAATAAAACCAGGTGTAGATTGTTGGATTTGATAAGTGTATAAAATTATAAAAGCAGCGTGTGTTTACGTAATGAAATTGCTTATCACATTCGTGTTGATTTTGTAATTTCATTGGGGAGTGGTGTGTTGTAACCACGTCAAATTCAGTTTTAGTCGATCATTCCTATTCAGGCAATTTCGATTCCACTTGATATGAAGTGCTTCGGATGAAATAGAACGTTCTTTGTGATTTCTGAAATTCTTCGGGATTATTTCAATATTGTCAAAATCAATTTTGTGGCCGGATTCTATAGCGTGTAGACCTATGGCTGATGGTTTTACAAGTTTTCCAAGTTCAACTGGATTTCTCGGTGGTTGAACAGATGCTCTGCAGTGTTCATTTCTTCTGATTTTAATTTCTCTCTGGCGGTGTTTGTCCGATGTATATCACATCACATTCCAAGGATTTTATTTTATAGACACAACTAGATAGAGAATCTTTAGGGATTTGGTCTTTTATATGGAAAAGGTTGCTATGCAGTGTGTCTGATGTTTTGAAGAAAACTTTAATGTCGAGCTGATTGAGTGCTCTTCTGATATAGTCTGACGTCTCCGCTCTTTTGGGATGTTTTCGGAATACGTTTTCAACCAAATTTAATGTCTGTGTTGATTTTGTTGATGAAGTTCTTTGGGTAGTTATTTTGCTAAGATTTTTTAAATTTTGATTTTATAATACTTTGATAAAGCTATTAGCGGCAATAAACAGTGAAACGTCAGTAAAAACAATATTGTTTCGCTTTTCATTGGTTGGGAAATACACGAACCTTTATATCGCCAATGACCAAATTGTTTCAAACTGTTAAAAGTGAACTTGGTTTGGACACATATAACTCATGTTACGTAATTGAATAAACATTAGAAGATGAGGTCCGTAAGATGAGTTCATCTTCGGAATGGTAACACCTAAGTTACAGACATTCCTGAGTATTTGATAGCATAGTTTGTGAAACCACTTCAACTACTTTGGTTTCTCAGGTCGTACGGATATTACGACAAAATATATTTTGTCAGTCAGTTAGACATCATCTCTGAATCTAAATTACTACTTGTTTGGTGGTGACTGGTAGTAGAATCTATGACGCGCATTTCGTCCTATTTCGAAACTCATCATCTGCGCAGACCTGCACTGTCATTATTGCTGCCAACAGTGATTTGCCCTTATCTATACATAATTTATTAGGCGAGTCTCAGACATACAACATAAATACACTTAATGAACAGGCATGGTTATCGATCTGGCTAATTGGTGGGCTTGTCATGTGTAAAAAAATTATTCCGTCATGCTAGTCACATTTCTTTTTATTGATACTTATACCTAAAGTATATATGCGCTTGCATATGTGTGGGTGTGGATGTGAATTCACAAGACACGTATACCTGTTTGCAGGTGGTATATACACATTGACACTTATTTACGTGTTCCCGCCTATTTACAAAATTATAATAACACAAAGTTATATGACCTCTTGTCTTGCGTAGTATCACTTCCGTGTGAAAGAACAACTTACATATATCACAGGGTTTAGTAAATGAATGATTGTTGATTTTATTTGAATTTTTAAATGTCTCTTACAGGATACAACTTTGGCTAAAGTCAATTCGATTTAAACAGTCAGGAGACGACTAACTGCTCAATATGAGTCTTTTTATCAATCCCTACAAATGAACACCCACACTGAGTCGACTACTGTCACAAAATCAGTTCAGATAAGCCTTGAGAATTAAATTAATTATCACTGTACAGTAATCTCATCCTAGGGCGGTATTCCTCAACAATGTACACTTAAGGAAAAAAAACTTCACAACTAAGACGAGACAACCAGCCGGTGCTGCTCCTGAGTTTTAATGGTTTTTTGAAACATTTGTCGATTTGTAAACTCTAATTAGAGAAATTTTGAAAGTTATAAAGTCAAGAGTTTCAGTGACCGATTTGTTAACTTTTTCATTCAAGAATTAGTTGTATCAGTTATTGATTGATTGATTGAGATGAGTAGCTTCCAACTGCTTACTCCAGTCAATAGCATGATACCATATAGTATGTAACTACAGTCTACATTTCCCCACACACTGAGTATTTATCATTAGAGAAGTCTGGAATGCTTTAGAAAGAAGTGGTGTTGTGTACTGGTTACCGATAGCTGGGAATTATTCTGTGTATAACCAGCTAGCTGTCAAATGCAGGCTAACAGATAACTATTGCTTCAGACTGGTTTTTGTTTACCAAGCATATTTACCATCGAACTTTAATATATACTTGTGGCCTTTCTAGACATCGATGACGTTATCACATTCCAAAACTACTTAAAAGTTGATATAAATGCTGAGTAAATGTACTTTAATACTAAACAAAATCTTTAAAAAAAATCTCTAAAGTATCATTCTGACTAGTAGCAATATTCTGTCTGAAATTTAATCCTCTGGATGTATTCGCACCTGGCGATTTAGCAGTTATGGGCTGCCTTTGTACCCTGAAGGTCCTGTGTTAAATCTCTAGTGGAGTCATACCTGCTTATTTCTGAAAAGTCTGAACAACTGTCCAGTACTCCTTGGCTTTCAGTAGTTTTCTAACTGATGTCAGTTCGTGATCTGATTTCAGGTGATACGTGCTGAAAAATCCAGTATTTGTCAATATTCTGACTTTGAATATATCACTGAAAGTATAACCAATACTGATATACATTTACAGTTTAGTGAATATGTGGAAATGAAATAAAACGTACAAATATTAATTCCATGACTTCCCGCCAACATATACATATAATGTTAGTTACAGGATTTCATCATGAGCTGACATCACTTAGAGAACCACAGGAAAACCAACTGGGATTACTGGACAGCTGTTTCGTAAGTCTTGTTTGAGACTCTTCATCAGTACGTACCCAGTGGAGTTCGAAGCCCGAACATTCTGGTTACCCGTTGGGTGCATGTTACTGAAGAGTCTCAAACTATGCCGACGAAACAGCGGTCCAGTACTCCATGGCTGGTTTTCCAATGGTTCTCAGGTTATTCATATCTCATAATAAAAATTCCATAATAAATAAAAGTATGACAGTGGACAGAGTTTTGCTTATACTCACGTCGACTTAAATTATTGACTTTTCTCAGTGAATAGTACTCTACTCATACCTCAATGATTCTTCTAACAATGATAGATTGTTACATCGTTAGGCTGAAAGCAAATGTGCATTTTGTGCACTTAGCAATAAGTTACACCTAAAATGTGTGGGCCAGGCAAACTTTCGCAGATGTACAAGGGGTCAAACTATTAACCTACTGGATGAGAACCCAGTTCCTTACCCAATCAAACAAAATATCAATTGTAAAAATATCAAGTTTTCGGCTGGCTATTTTGTTCTCCGTAGATGAATTAAATTGTTTATTTCCTTGCAGTGCGTTCTTATTTGCTCCACATTAAGATGGAATAGGCGTACTATACTCTGGAGTTCACTTCACTCAGAAAAATACTTAATAAATTGGTCTACGTCTAAAGGGTAAATACGCTTTTAATGGTACTACTGCGAGGCATCTCCTTGATATGGGTCAAGAGGTAAAGAAGTTCACTTCTCCTGAAATTTGACGACGCATTCTCCGACAACCTTGTTAAAACTAGATTTATGTGTTCAGAAAGAAGCAGTTATCAGTCTTTCTTTGACCTGCCTGATAACCATATATCTGTATTCTCTCCTACACTCAATTACGTAACGCTGAAAACTCCTTTCTGCTTGATTAGTCAATAACTAGATCCTTTGTCAACTTGATGGTTTGATTATCATGACGTATGCGAAATATTAAAACAGGTTTAATCTTCATTTATGTGCATTGACTGCTATCGAACTGAGTACTACTCAGTCACATTTGCATACAAAAATGTTTAAATATTTGGTCACTAAAGTAACCGAAAGGAAAAAGAAGTTAATTGCATAAACTAGATTAGGTCAACTTTTCATCATAACCACGTTTATTTTACCACACAAAAGTGATCTTCACAGTCCGAGAGAAGAAATGGTTACTTTTTGCCAATTCGAATATCATTCAGCTTTTGAAAATGCAGATAACTTGAACGTATGATTAAATTATAGGATAACTTGCTTCCATTCAGTGAATTAGTCATCTGTCCTTAATCAAGAGATTGCTTAATCTACCACTAAGATTTAGTCAGCTATTCCAAATATCTTCACATGAATCAGACCTTCTTACGACTTCAATCAATACTCCCTGTAAACTATTCAGGTTACCGCTTTTTCTTTTACAGAATTTTAGGGATGGCAACTGTACAGTAATGAAGAAACAAAAATGAAATTGTTTAACCCTGATTCCTATCACCTTTTACTTAGAGAACTGAAATATTCTTAGAAAAGGACAGAGGAAAACAAAAGAGACTGACTAATATCACTTACCACATCAGTTGGTCTTGTCCCATTGGTTATATTAGGTCGTGTTGCCTTAGCAGTAATCCCTTTCATTGGTTTACGTCCTCCATTGACACGTTTTGTTGACTTTTTGCTTACTTTTGTACTGAAATCAATATTTATAGTTGATTTCGGTATTAGTGTGACATCAGAATAGATATCCAATTCAGCTGATGTAGCCGGTGAATCCTGACCATCATCAACATCCTCCTCCTCATCATCATCAACATCACCACCAGTACCACCACGAGGACGAGCGGTGTTATTATTATTACTATTACTATTACTACTACTTCCACTAATATTCTTCTTCTTTTTCTTATGACTACTCTCGTCATCAACGTCAGATGTTGTGAATTCAGCAGTGACCTTGGATTTATCCTTGAAATTATTCTCATTGACTTCTTCACCGTTACTTGTTTGACTACTGCTTATACTACTACGACCAGAATCAGTTGATGAGAAACTATGATGATTATTATTCAACTGACTGCCACTACCACTACCACTACCATTACTGTCCATCCTGTCAGCTGATTCCGGTGGTTGACTCTTACTATCAACAGTTTGACTAACTTTCACTGTCTTTATTGTCATTTTGACTGTGGATTTATTTGTCGACGGTGAAGTTGATGAATGTGTTGATGATGATGTGGATGTGGATGATGAATTCGCTGACTGTCTTCCAGTATTATTTGGTGTACTTGTTCTAGAAGTTTTCATTTTTGATGCTGATGTGACTGGAGTGATAGGTGTGAAATGATTATTTGTAGTATTGTTACTGTGATCACTATTACTATTGATTTTATCATGATGGACTTTTTGATCCTCAAGGCAAGCAACTGGCTTATTCTTTTTTCTACAAATATTATCCATTTTGAAGAGAAATTCAGCAGTAAAAAAAGGTTTTTTATTCTTTGTTCAGGTAGAGCGGATATGTGTTTCTGAGGCGAAAAAGAGTAAGAAAATTAAGTTTTGTATTTGTCCTGTCTTTTGCAATCCACTTTTTCGTCTACCTTCAAATATACATCATAAGCATCCACATTATCCAGAGATAGAGAGAGATATTTATAAAGAGAGACAGAGTACAGCAGTCAATGTTTTCTGTATAATTAATTCCTTAATTACTTGAAGAATATTATTCCGTTTGTTGGATGGAGAATTGTTAGCGTACAAATAAACAAATTATGCGGACGTACACCTGCTTAGGTATCTGTCAGTAAGAAGGTTGTTGATTTTTGTCTATAGTATTCTTAGAACAATCAATATGAAGTTATCGTTTCACTCAATGAATGTTTCTGTACAAATATGTTTGTGAATTATCGTCAGTCGTCTCAGGCGGTTAGTGAATATTCGTTAAACACATAGGCATTTTACTGAATGAAGGCAACAGAATACTGTACGATAACATGTTTGTATTTGTGTGTATATACTTATGAATGAAAATAAAAATAAAATACAAAAAAAGCAACTAAGGAATAATATTTTGATTTGATTACTATTTTTGGGCAAATGATTCGAAGAATTAACCAATAGAAATTCACTATTCAATTTACCCACTATCCACTTTCATCTGATTGGTTAATTTGATATTATTACTGTTATTACTATTATCATCAATGAAATTTATGAAGCCCAAAACGTGAAAGGGAAAAGCGTGTCGTGCTTTTATATACTGTCAATGCCCAAAAGTACTTGGAAAACGATACTGATATTAGCTGATGCCTCATACAAGTTGTGTTGATTCGATCAAGGATTAGGCCACAATAATGTCAAAATAATATCTACTTTAAAAACATTTATTATAGCTTGATTCCACACGGTATTTTTGATAGAGATATGGAATTTTCAGCATGTGATATCGGTAGCCCGAATTTAGCAGACCGACCATTGATGTCAGGTGTGCTTCGGCCAGGGATCGAAACCCGGCCCATGTGCAGGGTCGGCGAGTGTCCCAACCTCTGTGCCGCCAACGCATGTGTATACGTATATACCACCTATTTATCGGTTAACAGACACTTGCTAATTCTTCCCACCGAGGCATTTCTTTTCTTGTCATGTTTGCTTGTTTACTTTAATGTTTTGTAGAGAGGAGGTGAAAAATAATCAAAGCATTCATTCATTATAGACATAAGTGATTACTGAATAATTTGTGGAAGGTGGGTGACTAGCAGTGCATTTCGTCCTATTTGGGTCATCATCTGGATGATTACTGTTCACTTTGTTATTCTATATCTATCATCTATAATATTATCTGCTGTAACAGGGAATGTTGGTAATCCCATTGCTACACCTTCTGCTTCCTTAGTTAAGTGTCTAGCAAACCGAGTAGTAGCATTAAGTAGCACAAGAAAATTCCTAAATGACGAAATAAAACATATCGAAAAGGCGTTGGTATCAAATAACTAACTGTCCTATAAAATTCATTAGGAATGTCAAAAAAGGTCATAAGCAAAATAAAAATATTGGTGAAACTAATAATGGTAACAAAAATAAGGGGGATTTTAATGCATCTACAAATTTACCATATAAGGAGGGGACATCTGAGACCCTACATAGGATTCTGAATAAAGCAGGAATTAGAGTGGTGGCCTTTAAACCGACAAACTTACTCTGAGAAGAGCTCTGTAGGTTAAAGGACCCTGTAGGTTGACCCAATTACACAAAATAATATAATTTACAAAATACCTTGCAATGAGTGTGAGTTAGGTAAACTACATAGGTCAAACTAGTAGATCAGGAGTAGTGAGATTATCAGAACATAAGAATTTAGCTAAGGTAAGAATGGTTGACCCCAAGAAGATAAGCAATTTAAAAAAAAGCTCAGCAATTTCACTACATGCATTAACACACAAAAACACAATAGCATGGTGTGAGAGGGTTCAAATTCCAACAAGTAATATAGGTAGATGGAGAGACAAAGATTGATTACTGAGTCCTTGTTTATTGAGTCTACACGAAACAGGTGCAGTAGGAATGACTCATCACTCATACGGGAAATATGGAAAATACTACTACCAATGAAACCAAGCGATGGAAAATAATGGAATTATATAAACGAAGTTAGAAAGTTGTGTGAGTAGTGCCTTGATGTGATTATGCGTAGCAATGAATAGTGCTGGAAACGTCGTCATCAGTAAATATTACTGTAAAACACTATGAGACTTTATCAAAATAAATTTTACCCATAATGGAATTGCAGCTGAATTCATGCGTGATTTTTTCCTAAATCCAGGGCATTTCTTCTTCTACTCAAGTCACAGTAACTATTAGTCCCTGAAGGATGATGCAGTTTATTATTTTACTTCAAATGGAGGAAAGCACGATTCTGCGCTGCTTAATTTTTTGACTTTTGGCTATTTGACTAGGTAGCTATTCTTCCAGTCGGCAGGAATATTTCCATTCTTCAATGGCTTTTGTGTAGGCAGGTCTTTTGAAGTCCCTGGAGGATAATATCTGTTAATGCCACTTTCCCCGCTTTGAGTAACTTTATGACTTTAAAATATTTGGAATATTTCATTGCATTTTATTCATTTGCTCAAGCTTACGTACCTAAATATCATTAGGAATACAGCCGAAACGATGGTTTACTAAAACTTCACTGGAATAACGTGAAATAACACTGTTGAAGTTCATCTGTATACCTTTTGACACATATCAGGCTAAATTGTTTAAACTACTCTTTTTTATTGGTCACAGGATTTAATCATGAGTGGTTAGAGAACCATTGGAAAACCAATGGGGAGTACTGGACAGCCATTTCGTTGTCGTATGTCACTCCTCGGTAGTACCTTCCGGTTACAAGGCCAGCGAGCTCATAGACCATTACACCACTGGGACCTGATTTAATAGCCAGCCTATGAATTCCATTTTCTGCCAATTCACCACATAGCGCAACCACTAGCCAGTGTCTTTGGCGAGTATTTGTCCCCACACCTGACCTGCTGTACCCTACTGGTCACCATTTCCCACTAGAACCTCATTTTACCAAAATCAGAGATAGACATTTTGGTACATGTTGAGAAAATTGAAGGTGTGTACCTTTCCTTCTGTCCACCCAATGTAGCCGTTAACGCACATACATGTAAAGTTGTGTACACAGTTAAAGTAATCGTTTTCGCTCTCTCTCTCTCTCTCTAGCGGTTGGCAAGCACTAGTTTGAATACGTAGTCAATAATTTCTAGGGTTATTATATCAAGAGATAAGGAGATAATATCTGTAGGAAGCATTACTTTTTCATTTCGCCATAAATTAATAATTTGACTGATTAGAGAAAAACAAATTTACATTATTTATCAGTCTGATAAATAATTATTAAAAACGAAAAAAATAAACGTGACAAATTCGGGAGAGATTACACACTTCAAACTTACAAACAGACAGAATTTACTCAGTATCCAAATTAATGGGTCTCCAGAGACAAGATATTGATTATCCTCTCTAGTGACCAATGAATATACTCGTTATAATCCTATGAAAAGTTGATCATGCGTCTTAACAGGATATTGGTTCGCCCTAGGACTACAGCACTGGGTAATGTAGGTTTGAATCATCAATGCTGTACGTACACGCTGCAGGACAAGCGACAATGAACACGAATTCAAGTTCGAGACCTTACTGACGATCTTCTCCAATAGTCTAGGAAATATTAAAGTAATTGAGTGAGACCAAGTTAGTGTTGGTAAAATCAGTAAGTTGAATTTTAGATTTTCCCGTCGAATGGAAGTGCGCATCCTGGATTCCAGTGCTAGTCACTACCCACCAATTAAATTGAAAATCAGTAAGTTTACGGTCGAATGTAGTGAAGTTCGGATTATATAAAGCCATTTACAGGAGTATGATGCACATGCAAATATTAAATTTACTATGGAACATGAAGATGATGGAAAGTTCGATTTTCAAAGCTTCAGACGAGCACTAGTCAAGACTCTGCAATAAAGAGCGAGGAGAATATGTTCTACAGAGAAATTAGAGGAAGAATTTATGATTCTTGAAACTCATTCACAAGCTTGGAAGGTGTGAGGGTTCAAACACTAAATAAATCACAGTGGGGAAAAAGTCCATCAGCCCGTCGATTTTAAGGGTGATAATACTTCAAGAATAGCTAATCGAAGATTGAATACGTTGCTAGTCACAACTTATCCTTCAGTTAAGTTGATTCCTGTTTATCGGAGAACATGCTCTTTGGTGCAGTCGAAGGCCAACAGATACCCTTCTCAAGTTAACTACAACTGTGTATACAAATTTACGTCTATAAGGGGCAGCAGTTACATTGGGAGAACAGAAAGAACGGGACACCTCCGATTTTCTGAACATGTACCGAAATGCGTACGTCTCAAGGGAACATACTCTTATAATAGCGCTATTATCAGTCATCTCTTTGATATGGGTCATACGGTGGAAATCGCAGAATCCTTTAAAATTATCAATGGACAAAACCCTCAGTTCTCCTCAAGTTTGCCGAAGCAATTTCTACCAAACGCTTGAAACTCGGTTTATGTGTTCAGAAAGAAGCGACTATCAGTCTTTCTTTGCCCTGGTAACAGGATTGATCACTCGTTATCTTACGCAATTCTCGTCGTCATTACTTAAAACTGTATGAATACATTTACTTTGTTTAAACTTCAACTCCCTATTCAGAAATTATTTACGCTTAATTTTCTGAGCTCTGTTCACTTAGTTCGGAGCCTCATGTAAACTGACATCATGCAAAATTTGCAAGGTGTAAGCAGCAACTGATGAGAAGCCAATGAAATAAAAACTGTTGTACTCACTTTATTCAAATTCATAAAGGGAAATAAATGTATGAAAGATGATTAGTGTCGTACCACTAATGATCAACAGTGATACAATTTTTATGGATATTACTATTATTA